TTAATATTACTGTGTAACACTGTGTGACACTTTATCAAAATAAAATCCTCTCCTTAATGGAGTTATACTTTACTATCACAGTGCCAAAGTTTTATACGTATATCAGTAATACTGTTATTATTATTATTATTTGCACACTAGGTAGTAGTGTGTGTCATGGGTTCAGTCCGTGATGTTTTGGTATAAAGTGGTTCAAGGCAATCAGTGGGAAGCCTTGCTTGACCTAGATTTTGTGCTTCTCGGCTCTCACTGGTCAACAACAACAACAAGGCGTGTATCTGCAAGCATCTTGAACAAGGAAGCACATGTCCCTTCTGAGATTCGAACTTGACTGATAGAATTCAGTTTTCATTAGACAAAGGAATAGACAAATGTCAGTAGTAGTTAGTGTCTAATCAAATTATCTAATGCAGTCCTCTACAGGAGGTCATTCACCAGTCCGGTCAGCTCAGTGGTAGTGTCTTTGACTGTGGCACTGAATGACACAGGTTTGAATCTCAGAAGGAATATGAGTTCCTTCAAGATGGTTGCAGATACACCTTGCTGTGACTGACTGATGAGTGCCAACTAGCACGAAACCTATGTCAAGCAAGGCTTCCCAAGGGCTGTCTCTTCACTGAATCATCACTTGACGCTACCAGATCGTCTTAACTTTTTTATGCAGAAATTAACTTGATATATAGAGGAGAACCACAAAAATCCGTAGAAAGGCATAAGCCGAGTTGTTATTTTACATTCAACTTCAATACCTTCTATTATTATTATTATTCCCTTGGGTTCCGTGTGGAACATAGGGCTTCAACAACAAATCTCCACTTCGTTCTATTTTCCGCCATCTTCTTCAGCTGGATTCACGGTTGCCCAAACTCTCTCATCTCTTCCCCACACAATCTCATCCATGCAACCCTCGCCTGAACCGACGACCCACTCGTCGCCGCTTCCCGTTGGCGTTCTACTCGAGGGCCTGGTGTATGACGTCATTCGACGGCCTCCTCAACGTATACCCCATAAATCTCCTTTTTCTCCTACATATTTGAACAAAGCAAGAACAACAATTGTACCAGATGACAATATGAGCTCATCGCTTTTTATTATTTCGAGGATTCTTCTCAGCTGGTTACAACCTGAACGATAAAAGATATGAATTACATCCAAGATTTGGACATACTTTTCCACGACCACAAGGAGTAATTGGTAGGAATTAAGAGTAACATTAGTCCGGAATGATTTAACTTATCAGAAGTTACAAACACTGACTATTTATAGAATAATTAGACAATTAGACTTGAAAACAAAAATCAGGGTTGTGTATATATGTTTGTGTGTAGAAATAAGGTTTACCCAGAGAGAGCATAACAAAAGGGTAGATTACGTAACTAAAGAAAACGTCTTATCTAATAGCCAATAGAAAAAGGAAAGAAAAAGGTGGCGTGAGTCATGTTTAGATGAGAGAGTAGAGTTTTCTAAACATGAAAATGGGTGACTCATGAAGGTTGAATATATTTTTTGTTATCACCAGGGCAGTGCAAGATTCACCACTGTCTCTTTCTGTGTACATAGATTTGGTTTAGGTCGTTTGATGGCAATTGCTTCAGCAAAGCGTAGCAAGCTAGGTTTCTTTTGCTTTGTTGATTATTTTGAACGACTTCAGGTTGTCTACAATATGACCAGTGTCGCCAATAGATGACGAGCAATCACACTGTTTAATGCATGCTCGTGGACCTTTCAGTCTCAGGTTCTTTGGTATGTGTTCATAAATGCGGACAATAACCCTTCTCTATGTTCTTCCAATGTATGTGCTTGTAACAACAGAAGACAAGGGCTGGCAACAGATCGTTTCATTACGGAAATCAACACGTATTTATATAAATTTCACATACATTATTATAGCCTAGTCAAGTAGACAAACGCAGTCTTCTGATTGGTTGTTTTCGAGTTCCTCGGAAAGTGGATCCATCTATCTGCGAATCATATTTGCCCACGTTTAAGTTTGCTGTGATTGGTTGTTGAAACAGCCTTGTTCATATTTTCTCATGGCCCATATTAGTGACGTAGACATTGACGTAGATTAATGTCAACCAATTGGCTAGCAGGCTGCTCTCACCACATGCTTTGGCATGTACACGTAAATTGGTAAACACAATTGGAGGTAACATGAGCGGTCGACTCTTTGTAGGTTTGTTCCCAACAGAGTTTCTTATTGTTAATTCTTCCTGGATGGCCGTTTAATCTTCAGTATGTACCCAGAGAAGGTGGGTGGTAGCTATTGTTGGAAATCCTTTTCGTGATACGCGCTGGCCAAGTTTCTGACTCTCGTATAGAGGAACTGATCGACTTCACACATTTTGTGTTGAAAATCCGAATCTTGTTTATTTTATGCTGGTGTGGTGAGAGCAGGCTGCTAGCCGATTGGTTGGCACTAATCTACGTTAAGGTCTAGGTCACTAATATGGGCCGTGAGAAGATATGAACAAGGCTGAGTCAACAACCAATCACAGCAAAGTTAACGTGGCAAAATATGATTCGCAGATAGAGAACTCTATTTGTCAAGGAATCCCGAAACAACCAATCAGAAGCCTGCGTTTGTCTACCTAAACAACCAATCAGATGACTGCGCTTGTCTGTAATAATGTAGTTGAAATATGTATAAATACGTGTTGATTTTCATAATAAAACGATCTGTTGCCTGGCCCTTGTCTTCTGTTGTTACACTGGTGCAGAAGATTTCCAAACTACTTTCAGGTTGATTTCGATCGGCTTTGACATCTTCCTCTGTTCCTGCTGTCAGTAGTTAGAACAATTCATCTTCGTAGATGATAGGTGAAGGAGGTAACCTCTGTTAGAAATCTCTACTCTTGATGGTGATTGGTTTGCTGATTATCGTTGTTGTTGTTGTTGTTGTTGTTGCTGTTGATTGGTTATCTTCATCACCTCCCGTCCGTCTCCTCTATGTTCTGTTCTGCCGTTCTGTCTTCGCTGCTTCTACAATATACGAATTATTATTATTATTCTCTTCCACGCTCAACCTGCCGAACATCCAACACTTCCCTGAATGGGATATAGACACAGGTCCTCCGTCCCTGACTGAGGTTATTAAAGTTGTCACTAGTCTGAAACAAGGCAAAGCAGCAGGAACTGATTGAATGACTCCAGAGGTATTTAAGTACTGTGGAAACAGTTTACTCTCTGCGTTAACTGATGTACTGGGCAGCGTCTGGGAATCAGAAGAAGTCCCATCGGGTTGGTGTGTCACTGATTATCCCCATATACAAGAAGGGAGACAAGTCACAAGTGTGTGATAATCAAAGAGGGATTAGCTTGACTAATATACTATCTAAAGTCCTAGGCTCAATAATAATGCGTAGACTAAGTGGTGCACGGGAGGCACAAACACTAGAGGGCCAGGCAGGCTTTAGACCAGGAAGAGGGTGTATTGATCATATCTTCACTCTTCGACAGATTCTATAACATGGGGATTCTTATCGGCGCCCAACAGTCATTATATTTCTTGACCTCAAGGCGATATTCGATTCTGTCGACCAAGAGGTTCTCTGGGCGATGTTTGGCTTTGAAGGGGGGAATGACGAGAAAATGCCTTGCACTGATCAAGACACTCACTCTACTCGAACTCATGCAGTCAGCCAGGTGAGGGCTTACGGCGAGTTGTCATCTGAACTGGTGACGATTAGTGGTGTCCGTCAGAGAGGGATGCCCATTATCCCCATTTCTCTTCAACTTCATCATAGATATTGTGCTAATAGATTTAACCCTAACTGACTTCAGAGACTCAGGGATTGACTTGCTGTCATCAGGGAATAATAGTCTGGTTGACTTAGAATATGCAGATAATATAGCCCTTCTAGGCGAGGAATCTGACAAAATATAAGATGATGCTGCAGGACTGGATTACACTGACTTCTAGTTTAGAAATAGGGAGTGAAGTGTTTAGTGGAGCACGTTGACAGCTTCACTTATTTGGTAAGTACCATCAGCCAGTGCTAACGGGTTGATCTCTGACGAAATCTCAGTACGGATGCAGAGGGCTAGTGCCGCATATTTCAGTTTACACCATATTTGGCGTAGACGTGATTTTTGGCTGGTATCGACCAAAGGGTAGGTGCACTGCTCATGTGTCCTCTCCGTCCTCCTTTATGGCTATTGAGAGTGGAAGACATGAAAAGCGTGGCTAGCTGTCTTTGATCATAGGTGCCTGCGTTCTATCTCCCGTGTGAAGTGGTGTAGTACGGTGAGCAATATTGAGGTTAGGCGTCGGTCGAGTGTTCTGTAGGTGGAAGGGTAAATCAATCGACGAGGCTGTGAAATACCATCGACTGAAATGGTTAGGACATGTGTTACGCATAGTGGTCTAGTCAGTGCCTTCCTCAACGGGCAATGTTAGCTGATATAGGGTCAGTCTGGAAAAGAGCTAGCGGCGATCAAACCAAAACATGGCTTCATCTGTCAATGAATAAATCCACGACAGTTAGTTTTAGCCAGCCAGCCGCGTAGGAAGGTGTGGACTATCTTACTGTGTGGGGTCCTTAGGACGGTAAAAACCAATGATGACTAGAGGCAATCGGTGGGTGATATGGCTCAAAGTGATCGTTGTCAATGGCTGGCTGGCGCAGATGCATCCACTTCTTGTGACTTACGATTTCCAATGAAACTATATTGTTCTTCGTTATTACTATTCCTTTGTCTCGCACCTCTGTTTACTGTCTCTATTATGCATTTCTTCTACTTTCTTCCCTCGCTTTTTGTGCTACAAGGTGGGGGGGGAGTTTGGCGATTTGAATGGGTGCATATCGGTGCAAAGTTCTATATCGAAAACAGACAGACAGACATTATTCTCTTATCATACTTTAACAGAAATTGTGTGTGTGTGTGTATGGGTTTATTGAGGAATATATTTCTGCCTGATAAATGGCATGATCTAATTAATTAATTATTCAATGCTTTATCATCCCTCTCTTTTCACATCATTGCATAATTTATTACAGGAGAGGAATTACTCTACGATTATGGTGATCGGGATAAGGAAACCCTTGAAGCACATCCATGGTTGAAAACCTAGACAAAGACGGCATCCAGAAGAAAGTGTTCGTGTGCGTGCGCGAGCCAAAAGATTGTCAGATTTATCTATCGCAAATAGGTATATTAATTATTATTATTATTATTAATTGTCCACCTCTTATTATTATTATTTCAGAAGATTAATTCTGACACTTTTTCGTTTCGTTTTTTTTTAATTTCTATTTTCTTATTCAATGGAAATTGTTGTGTTGCTAGTTTATTTTTCTGTGTTTCCGTTCCGTTCCGTTCCGTTCCGTTCCGCACCGCTCCGTTCTGTTTTATTTTTATTTTCCAAATATGCATATGATTGTCTTAGTGTCAGTGTTACAATGAATGTGTTTTACTCCACACCTACCCAATGTCAGCGGCGTCTTCTCCATCTTTCTCTCTTCTGGAGCATTTTATCGTAATGCCAGGCATTTAATTAATATTGTTGTTATTATTATTACCATTTATTATTCATATATAGTGATATTCATATTGTTATAATTGTCGGTGTTAAAGTCTTATTTTTTTATATATATTCACATATATATATATATATACCCCTAACATATATGTATATTAAACTTTTATGTGTGAAGTTCTTTGTTCTCTCTTTCATGTAAACTGTGATCAAGATTTGACCGAGCGGTTGGTTGCAAAATAATTGAGCGTCGAATGAGATAGCAGACATTTGTAAAATATGCAATATATTTGTAAAATTTCAATGAGATTGAAATGAGCAATTCCAATGTTTCCTGCGTTTGGCAATCTGGTCCGAACTTCTTCAGGGGAAATTAATCGAAATTAACATAACAGAGGCTTATACACAGAAAAGGGGGACATCTCTTGTTTTTAAAAAAATTGTTCCCAATCATCTGAGTCATGAAACAGGCATCAACGTGTATAATGAACAAAATTCGTATGAACTGTGGTCAAAATTTGACTTCAGACTTTCAAAATTAGTCTGCTTTTGTTAAAATATATGTGTATATGCAGTATACAGTGGTGTGTGTGTATGTGTGTGTGGGTGAATAGTCATAAAACATTTGTTAGTTTCTCCATAAGAAGACGTGGACAATCGGGAATTTTGATGAAGTATGATTAATTAGTGATACAGGATTTTCCATACTGCAGCTAACATTGCACCTTCACGTCTGTTCAAACTGTTGGGATTCACCCATATATGTAGGACTTCTGCAATCAGTCAGTCTTTCTTTATACGAACCAAAACCTTTCTGTATAATCTTAGTCTTAATAAAGTCGATTTTTTGTATCCCGTTTCTATCGAATGCATTGCAGTCACTGATTTGTTTGCACAGGTCTTTGGAACCACTTTTAGACATTGTTTATGCTTTTATATTTACCTGTCTGTAAATTTCTCCTACATATACGGCGTCACAGTCCCCACAATTGATCTAGCATCCACAATTAGCTGCTGGTTTTCTTTTTCTATTTTACTCTCAACCTTCACCAGTGATGAGCGTAATGTGTTAGTTGCACGAAAATACACTCTTATGTTGTTGTGATCGTTAAAGATTCGCTTTATTTCATCGGTTGTTTCTTTGCGGTGCAGCGGTATCACCGTTGTACTAACCCAATAATTCTTAGCATCAGGTTTCGATTAATTCTTATCTTCACATTTTAAATATCTTTTAATGAAGGCTTTAGGATAATTATTTGACTCAAGAGTAGATTGAACCAATTTTATTTCCTTGCTAATATCTTCCTCCTTAGTAACTAGACGTTTGGCTCTGTTAATCAGATTCTTGGCCACAGTTACTTTGGTGGTAAATGGGTGAGCTGACGGTATAATACATGTCCTTTCTCTCGTATAAAACTAGATGTAGTGGGACTATTGAGAAAGGGGCTATGTATTCGAAGTAGCGAGTGAATGATCAAGAAGTAGTATGTTTAATAGATACGAGAGACGGCTGTGTCGCTAATAGATAAGAACTTATGTAAGAATGTTGGTCCATGTTCATTGACAATTCGAACGGTAGGCGGGCACGTGTTACGCATCACGGGTAGATCGAACTGTACGGTGGTTGTTGGCAGCTGTGAGGTGATGTTTCCCTTCATTGTTGTACCCGAATTACAGCGAACCATACTGAGGGCAGGTTTTCTGCTGGAGATTGGCGTGATAATCGACACGCAAGCAAACGTTGTGATCACGAAATACGGACAAATCAGCATGTATAAGACCAGCGAGATAGCAGCGATTAAGCTGTCGAGGATACACAATACGACAGAGTTAATTAATACATACGATCATCTGTTCACTGGAGATAGGGACCCATACGGTTATTGAGATAAGGTTAATCATGTAATTCCGTTAAGTCGTTCGAAAGTAACGTCATTTACAATGCGAAGAGTGCCATGTCATTTGGAAGGCGAAGTTGAGCGACAAGTGCGAGAGATGTTAAAAGATGATATTATTGAGGAAGCTGATAGCCCGTACAACTCTCCAGTTCTGTTAGTTAAAAAAAGCGAATGAGAAGCATAGATTGTGTGTGGATTTTCGACAGTTAAACAGTATAACACAGTTAAGACCGTGAACCTGCCAACAGTAGTAGAAACTTTAGATCGTCTACAAGGCGCGAATGTGTTTTCGGTTCTCGATCTTCGCTCAGGATACTGGCAGATATCGATAAAACAAGGGGATAGAGATAAGACGACACTCTTGCCTTCTGTCGTTACAGATCTCAGTTTATCCAACTTCAGTTGTACTTAGTAAAAACCAAACAGCATCCATCACCAGTACCTGATTTCCTATGTTCCTCTTGGAACTCAAAGGAAGATATCGCAATGACCTGACGAGATACACGCGATGCCGACAATGTTCTTGCATGTTCTTCCCTACCAGAAAGGGTGTTTCAATACCCGCTAAACTAGAAGCAGTTGTTACCCGTTTTCAAATAGTTTTGGGAGGTTTGTGGGCAGCATATTAGTACTGCTAAGAAATAGAAACAAAGTAGCAGCAGTAAGGTGTTTCTCTCAGCAAACCAGCTAGCTATGCTAACTGTCCACTCTCTGGATTTAGCGTGTTTTAAGTATTGTCTCCCACGAAAATTGAATATTCTGACTTGTCCTGAGATGGTTCCTGGATGACGGACACACTTCTGAAAGACCACTTCAAACAGTCCAGTGTGTGACCAGTCTCAAGCAATTGTTTGTCCCTTGGGCTTTGCTGGTCACACGACACTTAAAGCTCTTTGTGTTTCATTGTAATCGAACATGAAATCAGCTTCATTATGGAGTGTAAGCAGCCGGGAAGTAATAACCGTGCAAACACTTCCATAAGCATATAAAGCCTTACTGATCATCACTCACTGATTATGTGGTACATTTATTTTGGTAGGATTGGTGAAATGGAAATCGGGGTGCCAGCAAGACTGGAACCAGCAGTGATCTATCAGTTGAGTGAACTACGATACTGAAATACTATCGTGAGGGTTGGCTGCTAGCTAAAATTGGTGGATAGTTATTTACGTCAATGTGTACGTCCCCAATATTGGTCATGAGAAAAATAAGAACAAAGACTGACTGACTGACTCAACAAGCAAAAGCAATCACAGCAGACTTTGCGTAGGCGGATACAATTTGCAGATAGATAATCTGAACTTCAAGAAACTGCCACAAAGAGATGAAAGATTAACATTCATCGAGAAATCACCAATCAGAAGACTGTGTTTGTTTCCTTACAATAATCTATTATAATGTACATGAAAATTTATAAATACGTGTTGATTTCCTTAATAAACGATCTGTTGCCTGGACTTTGTCTTCTGTCGTTACATTTTACTACTAATCCGCTTGTCGTTTCACTACAATCAACACGAGTAATGTTCAGATGTCATATGAAATGTATAATGTGTTACAGACGTTTTGGTTTTTATTATAGATTCTGGTCACAAGCAATATATTGGAGAGGGACCCGAACGTGAAGTCATGAAGCTTCGGAGTGGAATAAACTATGTTATACATAAATGGAGAAAATACTTACCAGTCAGAGTGGAGGGTAGGTCAACTACATGGATAAAACTAGTAGATCAGGAGTAGTGAGATTATCAGAACATAAGAGTTTAGCTATGGTAAGAATAGTTGACCCTGAGAAAAAAAGTAATTTAGAAAAAAGCTTAGCACCACATTGCACTGCATGCATTAACACACAACCACACAACAGCATGGTGGGAGAGGGTTAAGATTCTAAGAAGTAATCTATGTAGGTGAAGAGAGAGATTGATTGCTGAATCCCTCCTGGTTCATTGAGTCTACACCCAACACAACACATTCAACAGAAATGACTGCAAATACCAGAGATATTCATGGAAGATATTATTACCACCAGTCAGTCAGTCAGTCAAATCAGAGGATGATAATAAATAATCTCAAAATTCTATTTCAATTCAATTCACGTACATCACAACATTCTAACAAGTTACTTTTTTATTTAGACTATAAAAACATTCGTCTTATTTCCCATCTGATTGTAATTGATCAATAACACTCATATTATTATTTCTGAATGTACATTATCCCACATTGATTTTTATTCCAATATCTAGTCAATTTCACACATGTGTATAAATGAAGGAAAAACGTTGTGTGACTGAGTGACTTGATATGATTATGAGTGGCAATAGTTTATGCTGGACGGGTGGTCATCAGTTAATATTACTGTATAACACCACTGTGTGATTATATGAAAATTGGATTTTATTCATAATGATGTATGCCACTGGTGCTTTGCTTCCGTCTTTAGGACTCAAGCTATCAGCGACAATCATAATAATCCCATGCTGAAGTTAACATCTGCTGTATACAGCTAAGAAATGATCTCCTGATGCGAGAAAGATTGCTTTAAATAAAAAACAAAATTAGACGAAAAAAGAAAATAAAACGAAAATATAACCACTAAACTATTTATTCATATCATTTATAATATTACGCTTCAAATATTTACAAAATTGTGTATTAATCAATATTAACAATGATTGAAAGTTTTGTTGTTAATCAAATAATTAATCAATTAATATTATACGAGGTGTAGGTCATTTGAAGGTTATTCGTTGACCAACAACCAATGAAATTCAAACTTGAATTGTTATGCTGTTTTTTGTTACTTAGTTCTCTGTGGGTATATGACTACTTAAATGGACAATAGTAGTAGTATATGCCTTTTACATCAATTTTTTTTAAACATTTTCTGAATTAGAAATGAAATATTTGTTTGTATGCCTTGTATTTTAAATTGTTTTTTGTTTTGTTTCTTTTCTAAGATTATTTTTGTTGACTATCATTTTGTGCCAGCAATCGATACAAGTGTTCATCACTTAAACATCCTTGAATAAATTCATCTTTTGTCAAAACACTATCAGAATTCACATCCATTTTAGTGAATATTGTCCTTGTCCGTTCAGCTGGTGTCTTATCATTCTTTTCATCAATATCACCAACCATCAGGTGAATAGCCTTTTTAAAGGGAGGGAGAGAGAGCAAAAAACAGAATGCAAAATGTAGTATAAATTACATAGAAGTTTAGTAAAAGAAAAAGGGGGGTGGGACTTTTCTTAAAACATAAGCGTTATCGTAATGTATGCCCTACTACTCTTTGATTGGACGCACGAGTGACTAGTGCGACGTGTCTAGTCCTATCTCTGATACAGACTGAATTCTATCAGTCAATTTTGCAATTTGGCCAGCATTCTAGGTTGCTCGTGATGTACACGGTGCATATTGATTTGATGATATTAGATGGTTGGAGGGAATCGGCAACAGGAAGCCCTACTTCACCTAGGCTTCGTGCTAGTTGGTACTTGTCAGCTCAGTAAGAATGTGTCTGACTGCAATACTCACTGTGTGATATAGTTCGAATCTCAGAAGGGACATGAGTTCCTTCAAGATGGTTACAGATACTCCTTGGTGACTGGTAAGTGCCAACTAGCACAAAACCTAGGTCGAGCAGGTCTTCCTGTGGCCGATTGCCTCCAACCATCTAATATCTTACTATTCTATTGACTTGATTGGTGTATATATATAGAGGCAGTAAACTTTTTCAGTCGAAAGGCATTACGTGTACGAGTTTCCCTATATCTATTTCAGTCTGGGCAACAGGGCAACCATACTGGGTAAACTCTTGATTAAGTGTGTCTGGAACGAGCGGAACTACATTCCGGTGTTTATATTAGTTCAATCTGACTGAGACGTACTAGTTATGGATGTGAGTGGCGTTCGAATAGTAATATCAACCAATTAGTAGTATATATCGTCATGTAGTGATACTTTATTTCCATTTACGGTACCTACCAAGCAGATCACATATTGTTATTTGAATACTGCTGCCTTGCATAGGGAACATATTGCTTTTCATTCCCTCAAAACTGAAAGATATATAAGTGAAAAGCAACAAGTTGGCTTGAGAAGCATTCAGAGAAGATAGGTGTTCAGGTGAACATAGGGAAAACAGGGATGATGAAGATTCCTGGCCAACAGCGACGCCAACAACAACAGAAAACAATGGACAACAATATGAATGAATGGGAGAAATCTGAAAGGAGAAACCTCCTTCACCTACTTACCTAACTACACACCTACTGAGGAAGCATCATTTCAACTACAGGCGAACAGAACTGATGAGGATACAAAAGTGCGAGGATCCAGGAAGCAAGACAAGCTTTCATTACTCTCAAGTTTGTGTGGAGATCAACAGCACTACTCACCATGAAAATGAAGTTCAGATCCGGGTTCTCAACTCCAACGTGAAGTCAGTGCTACTCACTATATGGATCAGAGACTTGGCGCCGCACCGCGTCACGAAGGACACTTCGAACAAACTACACACCTTCTTCATCAACAGTTGTCTTAGCTAAATACTACTCCAGATCAGATAGTAGGCCAGAAACGATGAGCCATAGGGAGGGATCTCAGACAATGAGCGAATCGACCCAGCAGAGGAACCAACTGGGCAAGAAATATGCATGCAGGGAGAAGTGGAGGTGGATTGGGTATCCATACTCTGAGGAAACAAACTCCGTGTTTCATTCAGAACCCCAGGTAATAATGAAATATGTGACTAGAGTGCTTAAGCATCACTGCTATTTTATTTATTTCCTGAAATTTCCATTTTTCATCTCCTGATGAGTCCTAGTGGAGTACGAAAGTTAAATACGACACCGAATAAATAAATATTCCTGCATAAACTCACTTTTATTATTTGTGTCATTTCATATTCTTCAATAGTACCATTCCTATCAATATCATATAATTGGAAAGCTAATTCCAACTTCTCTTCAGGACTTCCAGATTGGGTAATGCTGATAGCCTGTAGATGAATATATCGGAAAGAAAAGACAGAAAATGAAATATATATATATATATATATAAATTTATTAATCACTACTTGAGGACTGCACTTGCTTTCCTTTGTGTTGCTGTCGTTTGTCTTCTTTTTTCTCCCACAATTTTAGCTTCTATATGACTTTTTGAATGAGAATGAATAATGTGGATATTTGACCATTTACAATGACAAATGATCTGCAAACATTATTGGTCCCATATCTTACAATTCCTTCTTGAATTACGCCTTACCTTCCCCCACGACGCAACCTGAATTACAGTTGTGGAATATACCTTTATACCAATGAAAAAGTATTAATTTATAATACTTCACGATTTTAATTTATAACATCACTGATCTTGCCTGTAAAAATAGCTTATATGCCTTGTAAACACCCGTTTATAAGGAAATATAAACTATCATTATTATTATTAGTCTACATTGAGTACAATTCACTTGTGATGTTACGATGAAAATGCTGACAAAAACTATCGCTTATTTTAAATTATTATTACCAAATTTGGATATAAATCAAGAATAAGGCTGGATGCCGTACACACCAAAGTTATATGGGGGAATGACACTTCAAGCTTTATTTTTTCTCCCAAGTATTTGTAATCCATCCAAAACATACTTGGGTTTTCATTTGTTAATGAGAAGACAATAGTTCTATATTTCTTGATGTGCACCATTGAATGACAAGGTATCATACTGTTCCCACAAACCAAAGACAAAAACGACAGCAACTATGTAATTTAACCATAAACCAAATTTATGCAATTTAAATAATACTTATCCATGCCAGTACAATTGGTGTGTCCTCCACAGGTAGGAAAAATATGTATTTTATTAAATCATTATTATTAGGTATGCTTGATAATCGTAGATGTAATTTACCATATTGATGATGCCTGTAAACTGGCGTTCCTCATGTACAAAAATGAGAATATATAATAATGATTATTATTATTATTTAAAGACACAATTTGAGTGAGGTTAGGATAAAAGTGTTAAACCATGATGGTGGAGGTAAAGATCAGTCACCAAACACTTGAGCCAACAGCCACGAGGAATATACCCCCCACAAGCACCCCCCCCCCCACACACACAGTTTGAACAACCTGGGAGGCCCGAAACTGGGAAGACTTTCACATATTCCTCTCGAAATTCTCTCATGTGACCACGCGTTCATAGCCTCTGCCAGGAAAGATACATTCAATGACTTCACCCAGGGAGTCACAATATTCCTTAAAAAAGTGAAACGCCGAATGCGAACTTCTGGCATTCATAGCCAGATTGGAAGGGAGATATGCACATTTACCTTGGTGGATGTGGAAAACTCTATTTCAGAATATATAGTGAGGGAAAATGGATTGAATGATGTATGCATTTGTTAATATGTGTGTAAAACTTGGGCACTGTGGAAGTAAGTAATTCCATATTAATTTGTTTATTAGACGCATCACACAGTCAATGAAACAGTACTATGTACTGGATGACACAGTTTCGAACAAAATTTATTATTGTTCATAATCATTTCATAAATTATAATCACAAGACTTCAAAACCTGAATTTTATAGTTTTCTTTGTCCTCTCCTGTTTGTTATTGTTGGAGTAGTAGAATTTTACAGATATCACATGTATTTGCAGTTGATTCGATAAACAAAGCTTCTGTTATCAATCTCTCCCTCCATTCACCCGGTTACATTAGATTTTAAAACTGTCATCCTATCCCATCCTACTGTGTGGTTGTGTGTAACTGCATTCACTGGTACGGCTGAACTATTCTCTAGAGTTCTTATCTTATTCGAGTCAAATAATCTAGATTTTGCTAGATTTTTATGTTCGGCTAGTCTGACTGCTCCTGTTCTACTACTTTGACCGATGTATTTGACCTGACAATCATTGCAGGCAGGGTAATAGATAAACTAAATTGTTTCGTTTAATCAGCTCCACAGGATTTATCTTTCAACCGACAAAGCTACTTTTTAATTGAGTTTGTGGGTGGTTTAAATGTGGGCTATGTTTACTCCTTCCAGCATTGTTAAGAATTCTGCGTAAGGTGGTTTCCGATGTTTTCTCCGTGTATGGAATTACCACTGATGATTTAGATCCCTTATTGTTGGTGTTGTCTTGCGCATATTTGACATGCATGTCGTCATTAATATCATTATCACTAACACCACTATCACTATTTATTTTATTTTTACATTTCACTACATATTTCCTGACTAATTTATCAGGATAATTATTAAGTTTCAAGGCTTCTCTTATATGTCTCACTTCCTGTCTTAGATTTTCCTCGGTACTACTTAGTTTTTGTCCTCTCTCACTTAAACATTTCACCAATCCTATTTTTACTGACATAGGATGGAATGATCGGAAATCTAAATATCTGTTTGAATATGTGGGTTTCCTGTAAACACACTAGCGTGTTTGAATACCCATCTTCTTTCTTTTTAACGCTACAATCTAACATTGGCAGTTCCCCCTTCTTTATATTCCAATTCATCATAATTGAATTGAATTGCCTCCACCTTTGAATTAATGTGTTCAAAAAATCTATCTGTATCCTGTGTTCTAAGTACAGTGAATGTGTCATCTATATACATCCACCATAGTCTTGGGATGGGGGTGAACGTTTCAGTCGCAATGTTTTTCCCACCTATCTATGAATATATCTCCTTCAACCAGGGATATTGGTGATCCCATGTCAATTCTCTCAGTTTGTTTGTATATTTTTCCTTGGAATTTCAACACTGTGGAAGTCAGGCATAACTGCACTCCCAGCATTATATCCTCGAACAGTAGCACTTTTGCCCTAAGTTCGAGTTCTTGGTCAGAAATAAGTTCGTTTCTGACTGCCTCTAGAGCCATATTTATTCGTATACGTGTATATAAACTGACAATGTCAAAACTAACCATTTTCTCTTCATTATCTAATTTTAAATTATCTAATCCGTGTTTAGGTTCATAAGAATTTCTTAGTCTAGGTTTCGAGTGGCGTTTTAGGCGATTTAATACCATAACTTTGGTTTGGTTACCGGAGAACATAAGAATGTAGCTCCACTACATTGTTGATCATACTTCCAGTTATGGACCTGTGGTTCGGGGTTCTGCTTTAAGACAACATCCACCTGCTTCATTCTGTGAGTTCAGACATTAGCCTAACCGTCACACAAACTATCAGACTGACTTTCCATGTGGTGTGTCTCTCGATGGCCATCATAATTATACACTGAATATATTCAGAAAATTATGAGCTATCATAAGCGATAAGTTTTACTCGAAATGTCATGCAGTTATTATTATTATTATTGTGACTGTATCCCTAGTATTCAATGAACCAGATATGACACGTCTTATCTTTGCTTGTTTACAGAATATATTACTTATAAATGTCACAGCAGTATGTGTGTGTCTGTGTGTGTAGGTGTATTATAAACAAATAATACTGAGGTAAGAAAACAATTGTCACATTTACTTGTCACATCATACTATTGTAAACAAATCTTTAACTAAAAACCTTATAGCTCCTTTGACATTTTCGAAGGGAAAAGCAAATATGCCAGTGAAACAATAAGTGAAAAGTTATGTTGATAGGATGATTTGATTTTTTTTTTGATTTTTGATTACAGCTTGACTCCACACCGTATTTTTGGTACAAGTGTGGAATTTTCAGCGTGGATATCGGTAGCCCAAATTTCGCAGGCCGATCATAGATATCAGGTGTGCGTCGGCGTGGGCTCGAACCCCGGACCATGGTTGGAGGTTGGAGGCTATCAACAGAGATAAAGACAGAGAGATAGCAGGAGTCTTGATTGACCTCGGTTTCGTGCTTATTACCACTCACCAGTTAGCAAGGCGTACCTACTACCTTGAAGAAACACATGTCCCTACTGAGATCCACACCAGGGTCACCCATTGAGTACGATGGAGACAGTTTACTCTCTGCGTTAACTGAGGTACTGGGCAGCGTCTGGGGATCAGAGGAAGTCCTGCCGGTTTGGTGTAAGTCACGGATTATCCGGATATACAAGAAGGGAGACAAGTCACAAGTCTGTGATAATCACACAGGGATTAGCTTGACTAATATACTATCTAAAGTCCTAGGCTCATTAATCATGCGTAGACTAAGTGGTTATCGGGAAGCACAAACACGAGAGTCTGGCAGGTTTTAGATCGGGAAGAGAGTGTATTGATCATATCTTCACCCTTCGACAGATTCTGGATCATAGCCATTCTTACCGGCGTCCAACAATCATTATATTTCTTGACCTTAAGGCGATATTCGATTCCGTCGACCAAGAGGTTCTCTGTTGATGCTTGGCCGTGTTGGGAATGACGAGAAAATACCTTGCACTGATCAAGACACTCACTCTACTCGAACTCATGCAGTCAGCCAGGTGAGGGCTTACGGCGAGTTGTCATCTGAACTGGTGACGATTAGTGGTGTCCATCAGAGAGGGATGCCCATTATCCCCATTTCTATTCAACTTCATCATAGATATTGTACTAATGGACTTAACCCTAACTGCTGACTTCAGAGACTCAGGGATCGACTTGCTACCATTAGGGAATAATAGTCTGGTTGACTTAGAATATGCAGATGATATAGTCCATCTAGGCGAGGACTCTGACAAAATTCGGAGTCTTCTAAACACCCTGAGCTGCAATCTACGAATGTTTGGTATGCGATTCGCTCCCTTTGTCAAATGTAAGATGATGTTGCAGGACTGGACTGGACTACATTGACTCGTAGTTCAGTAATAGGGAGTGAAGTGGTTAGTGGAGCACATTGACTTCTTCACTTATTTGGGAAGTACCATCAGCCAGCGTCAACTGGTCGATCTCTGACGAAATCTCAGTACGGATACAGAGGGCTAGTTTCGCATATGTCAGTTTACGCCGTCCCCTGGCGTAGTAGACGTGATATCCGGCTGGCTATCGACCAAAGGAGGGAGGTGTACTACTCAGCTGTCCG